GAGTCCAAATCCTTAACATGCCCCGAAGGGGGCCAAACACGACATGCTCGATATTATTTCAAAGAAAGATTTATATAAAAACGTGTACGGTATACAAACGCAAAGAATAAGATGACACTAATGTCACTCCCGGCAGAATAGATGTAAAGTTATTTATCTATAATTCAGTGCAGTGTTAATGTACCTTCAGTATAGCGTAGCATGAAGTGACAGCTGGACAGTTTCCTTGCAAGGAGGTATTTGTGACATGCGTGCGTCATACTGTTTTTAAAACGTGCACGCTGTCGGGTATTTTAATTGAAGTTTGACGTCTATTGTCCTGCGCACGTGTGACACTAGGCTAGCATGACTGGTCAAGATTCGTGAGACACATACTCCCGAATCACGAGGTAAACGTTTCATACACCTCAACCATAACCATTATTTCTCAACTGGAGCGTTACACTTGTCCCAGTTTGACGTAAGGAGATAATCTAAGGCTCCACAGTCATTGCTAGGTGCGGTGTCCGGCAACAAACACGAATGTTTTTAAAATTGTGTGAGTGGCGGGTGCTTCAGGTTGAGCAGGACACGCTCGGCCTTTTTTTCGGCAGAGACCGATGATTCTCTGAATTTACATATGTCCAGAGTGTACACACACGCACACGCACACGCACACGCACACACACAGAGTGAATCCTTGTTGACCCAATTCCTTGGGGTCTATTGCAACAAGTCATCCATTAAAACCACAGCCTGATGATATTAGGCCACTGTGCTCTTAAGAATTCTGGGTGACTTGTATCACGTAATCTTAAAAAATATGTGGATTTGTTTCACCCAGCATAGTTTCATTGTATAGCATCGGCAATTTGCTGAGAATACCCTCATCATGACTGAATTTTACTGGTTTAACAATATTACAGCATACCACAGACAGTACCAAGGGATGATCAACATGATCAAAAGTTACCATGATCTACATAGTCAAACTGAGTGTTCAATGAGCTACATACTACCAAACCATTCTGTCTTACCAGCAAAACCACATAAAACACAACTGGAGCATAAACTAATTAAAGAATTAAGCACAACACCAAATCCAGATGTATGGGAATATTTTATTACAGATATTGACTTCCATACTGTATATGCCCGACTGCATATTTTGGTCAGTATCACAGAGGGAAAGTGAGTGACCTCACGGAGGACGGAAATCACACAAGACAATACTCAAACAAACACATGTATACTGTGTATAATGAGATCAAAATTATAATCATAACTGTCAAACACAAAGGTACAGCTGGTTTAAGCTTGCTTTGAACAGTATTCCAGTTATATCAGGGGGTGTCAGCTGTATGTGGGAGGAAAGCCCAAAGTGATGCAGGTCTCACACCACCAATTTGGTGAAACCCAGGAGCAGGGTATGATGCTGACAAACCCAGAAATATAATCAGAGCAAACCGTGATTTGAATTCACAATCACACATTTCTGGCATGCCCAAGGAACACAACTCTGCACAACAATATGTGGCGCCTTAGATGACTTGGCCACCCGTACCCCCACACAAAATAGTACACTATACAATAGCTGTCAAAATATAGTCAAATCTTATATCAAATATCAGTACCTCATGCTTTTCTCAAGGAAAACCACAATTATGCATTGTTCCTTCATCCCACACACAGAAAATATGTTTGTTTATGGGCAAACATTTCATATTCTGTGACCTGGGATTGTTTAAAAATATAATCTGCTCCTGAAAATGCTGGAAAACATACTATTCTTGTTTTGGTTTTACAACAATACAATAAACTGTTCACTAGACATGCTGCAATAGTATTTGGCTCCTCCTTACAGAAAAGGAACTGTGTGTTATGAAGACTTAAAGAAATGGTCAGGCCTCCCCGAGAACATTTAAGGTCCTCTAGTTTCCCTTCAACCTGACATAAGGCACAAGTGAGTGAGTGAGTATGATTTTACGCCGCTTTTAGCAATATTCCAGCAATATCACAGCGTGGGACACCAGAAATGGGCTTCACACATTGTACCCATGTCGGGAATCAAACCCGGGTCTTCGGCGTGACGAGCGAACGCTTAAACCACTAGGCTACACGACCGCCCCCATAAGGCACAAGATGTCCACAGAACTTAACACTGAGCTTCATCAACATCTACATGGTAGAATCAGGCCCTTGCAGCATAGTGAGTGAGTGAGTATGGTTTTACGCCGCTTTTAGCAATATTCCAGCAATATCACGGCGGGGGACACCAGAAATGGGCTTACCTTGCAGCATAGTAATGGAACTGAAACATGAGGTACATATTTCACCCTTTTTCTGACATAATACCATATAATCGACCAAATTTATGGCATCTATCACATAGCAGTGAATGGGTACCTGGTAGGATGAGATTGTGATGTGATTTGTTATGTTGTGGTGCCTCACATCCAGCTTACAATCTCCCCTGCCAGCTGACAATGTAATTAGAGTGCACACTGATCAACTGACCAGCTTGGTTTGTTGTTAAATAACGCCACACTCAGCAATATTCCAGCCATATGACGGCAGTCTGTACATAATCATGTCTGGACCAGACAATCCAGTGATTAATGTCATAAGCATCGATCCACGCAATTGGGATCGATGACATGCATCAACCAAGTCAGCGAGCCTGACCACCCGATCCCGTTAGTCGCCTTTTACGACAAGCATAGTCACCTTTTATGGCAAGCATGTGTTGCTGAAGACCTATTCTACCCCGGAATCTTCACGGGTCTCAACTGACCAGGGCAATATTGTTGAGCTTTGAGCAAGCTTTAGGGGAGTGGATTTGGTGTGATATAAACATGTACATTATTATTCAAGCACATTTCTTTTAGCATCTATCCTACATAAACACTTCGAGTGAGTGAGTATGGTTTTACGCCACTTTTAGCAATATTCCAGCAATATCATGGCGGGGGACACCAGAAATGGGCTTCACACATTGTACCCATGTGGGGAATCGAACCCGGGTCTTCAGCGTGACAAGCAAATGCTTTAACCACTAGGCTACCTGCCTGCCCCTTACCCTGAGAAGCAAATGATGCATCAGAAGAAAATGATGGATGAAGACTGGAGTTACTACAGTTAATCTTTCATACCAAGGATGGTTCATAACTAATTCTGAGTAGTATATATCCGGGTTTCACAACTGTATAGAATGGACACAAACATAATATATATTGCGTCTCGAGGGACACATGATAATATCCATTGTACCAAATTCTTCACAAGAAATATACCAGTAGAGTTCCTGTAAGTAAAGTAATTATTAAATCTTACAGTACAGTACACTACACGATTTCTTTACTTTAACGGGGCCCTCATATTTCCTGACAAGACCTGTGAAATTAGTAATTGAGGGTCCTTCAGACGCCTAGTATTGTTTATATATTTCTATTGAGGATTATGCTTAAATGCCCGGATATTTCTGCAAGATTATGGAATGCTTGCACTTGTATAACAGTGCACCTCCATATAAATATAAACACACAGGGGCCAGGTGTTAACAAGCCATGGCATATAACATAGATAATACAATCAATGTAAAACACACAAATGAACTGAACACACACTAGGACATGTAAATGCAGCACCCTTAAGTATATATAGTTTACAGGAAAACATGTTTCTACAACAACATATCACCTATTATGACAACTTCCATGTGGGGTTCCCTCTAATTCTGCCTACAGCCTGGAAAAAAACACTCCATGAATTGTTGTAGAGTTGTCTGCATTGCACACATTTGTTTAAGGTCATTCATTAATGAAAAGACTGTTCTAACAGGACCCGCTAGACTATCTGACTACAACCAGTACAGCCCTTATAGTTCTGTATAATACTCAAAATACCATAGAGCTAAACAATCTACAGTAATCATTTATTAAACCATATACTCTAAAATCTTGTGAAAACTCTTGGTTGAAGATGAACTGAATTTTTCATTAATAGATTCACATAAATATTGGATCATATTCCTCAATATGTTGGTGAATTTCATACACTCAACTTTTCGAAACACTGTGCGTCGTCACTATTTAATAGTGATTCATAAACACATGCTTATGATATAGTCCCAATCGTACAATGGAATCTGCTTTTAGCACAAATTTCTTAAGATTATTAAAAGGGTTTTGTCCCTTTTATGCACAAATAGGGAACAGCAGGTCATTGTCCTGGAGAAGCTGCCATTAACACACTGTTGTTCTTCCCGCAAGAGTGTAGACAGAATGAAAGGATGCCCTTTTAAAAATGGTGTCAAGATTATGCAATTGGAAAGAAAACCACACATTAACTATTATTAGGTTGAACTCACATTATTATCGTGCAAATAGCATTTTTCTACTACTATAATGATAATAATAATAATAAATAATGAGCCTAATCAGCCTCACTGTGCCAGGATCACCCAAACCTTCTTTGTCGCATTTTTTATTTAAATCTATAATAATAATAATAATAATAATAATAATAATAATAATAATAATAATAATGAACCCTGCTGATGCTTTTAAGTTATTCCTGCTGTACCCTGTATTTCTAAAAAAAGAACTTTCTCGCTGATGAAACATTATGTGCATATTGACATAAAAGATATTGCAGATGATTATCTAGAACATAACTTCAAAAATATTCTTTTTCCTAAAATGTGAAACAAATTTCTTTTAACTTGATATGCCAAGATCAATAACTTCCTCTTCAAAATTTTGCTAAAAGCGTACAATAAACATTTGAAAAAAACATACAATATTTGAAGTAAGACGAGTTCTATGGATGAACAACTTCTTTATTACAATTGGTGCGACGTTTCGGTGTAGATCCTAACACCTTCACTTGCTTGATAAAGGTGTTAGGATCTACACCGAAACGTCGCACCAATTGTAATAAAGAAGTTGTTCATCCATAGAACTCGTCTTACTTTATCACTCCAACTTCTAAATGCCACTCAAAGAAGTTATACAATATTTGGTTCGCAGGATGACTATGTCAGAAAGACCAACTAAATGGATCCTTTCAGAAACTTATTCGAAGACAATTTAATCCATACCATACCTTTTGTGTTATTTAAATATAAAACATCAATTGTATAACATCAGATTGTATAATACTGACAGAAAACTTGGGGTAAATATACCACTCTATCTTATAATATCTATAACATCCAACACATCTAACACTACATTTTATGAAACAATCATGACAAACTTCACATATATAGGAATATAGATATTGGCACTGTAAATATAACATACAATATATTAAATACTCTTATGTCAACAAAATCAACAATACAAATAGCATGATGGTAATAGGACTTCAAAATAAATAAATAAATAAATTATCCAAACACATGTAGATACTGACTTGCCATCACCAAGGCTGTATTTGATTATGAGGTATATGAAGAAAATACATGATTTCACTAAACACTTCAAATAAACCACACCAACAATGGAAGACAAATAAAACAAACCTGAAAGATTAAACCCATCAAATGTAATGTATGATATACTTGTACAGAATCAATGGAAGCCATGATGAACAAGAGTGCCTATGAGGCATCTCAGAGTTTCCTTCTGAAACCTGTAGATGTGGCAGTAAGTAAAAATAGTGACATGCAAATCACCTGACATGTTGGTTGGTTGGTTTGTTGTTTAACGCCACACTCAGCAATATTCCAGCTATATGACGGCGGTCTGTAAATAATCGAGTCTGGACCAGACAATCCAGTGATTAATATCATGAGCATGGATCTACGCAATTGGGATCGATGACCTGACATGTACTTACTGTTGAAATAATTAAGAATGTAAGTCTTACAGGTAGACATGTGCACCACTGCCACAGAAAAATATGTCATTCAAATGTGCAAAACCACCACAGGTTTACATATGGGTGGGATGGGGCAGGTATGTGGTGTGTGAATGTGTCCGTGTGTCGAGGGGCAAAGAGGTTTGTGTACATGTAGGTGTTGGTGTGTGTGGCAAGTCTGATGTATGTGTATAGGTGTATGTGTGGTAAGTCTGATGTATGTGTATAGGTGTATGTGTGGCAAGTCTGATGTATGTTTACATGTTGGTGTCGGTGTGCATGTGTGGCAAGTATGATGTATGTATATTTGCATATGCATGTGTATAGGTGTATGTGTGGCAAATTTGATGAAGGTGTACATGTTGTTACAGACACAAAAAAAATCAACCTTTGCCTGTTTCACCTTTGACATCAGGACTTAATGTAAATCATTTTCAGAAGCTCAGAAAATACCTTCTGATAATGTAACCCTCTCCAAACCTGCTCTCAATGCATGCATATCACCAACACAAATTGCAAATGAGCACGGCAATAAATTGCCGACATGTACAGAAAGCCAATTGACTATTTTTTAACTAATCACTAACATGCCATAAATTTAATGATCCCACCATTGCCACAAAATAGACTATGATTGTCCCATGTTTCCTACCCGTGGAGCACGAACCTCACCAAAGGAATAGAAAGAGGTCAATGAAGTTATAAATCCTGGAACAACTTAATTAACCAGGGAATGCTACTTTGATGGGCAGAAAGCTTTTCAAGGAAGATTTATAAACACTCTATTGTATATAGCTGTGATAAATATACTCTGGGTGCATGCTCAATATTCTCAAGCTCAAAGTCTAAGAGACAGCACCTGAATATTAGTTGACCCCTAGCCAGTCACAGTGCAACATAGAACAAGATAATATAAACTTGCAGCTAATGGCAAATTGACTGAAATAACACATGCACTAAAACCTTTACAGTTAACATTTGGGCTAAGTTTGTCTTTGGTATGTAAAGTTCCAAATCAGTGTCATAATGATATTCATTATTACTTATAGTTTTACATGACCAAAACAATCAAAGTGTAAAGTGTCATAAAAGCAGCATAAGTGTGGAATATTACTTATTTGCTTTTTTTGTCAGATGTGACGTAACACAAGAGAGTTACATTGGATCAACATTTCACTGACCCCTGTTCATATAGACGTATTTGGAAGGAAACATTTCATAGAAATTTCAAAATATATAAAATAATTTCTATAATGAGTTAATTGAAAAAATCTCATCAGTAAAGTTTCAACAGGAAGACATAAAGAGACAATATACCTTGGCAACAACAGATTCATAACTAGGAATATATAATACATGGACATTTCTAAGGTAAAGTGTTTATACAAATAGAGATTCTCCTCAGACAGTACATATTCTGGCAGGAATGTATATTGTAAATGCAGCGTAAAGTAGATTCTTTATGAAGGACCTGTTTTGGTAGACATTTTGGTATAAATATTACAACTGTGATCCAAATAAGAAAATAGTTACTTTGAACAACATATAAACATATAAACAAATATGAAGTATGAATATTTTCCAATGTATATATGGAAGACTGTATGACTTGGATTTATTTGGAATCATAACTCTCAGTCAGTTTACGTTGAAGCACAATCACTTGTCTTTCAAGTCTGAAAAAAATGAAAACAATATATAAGTATCAACATTGTCAGGTGATGTGCACATATTTTTCTTTGAATAAGAGTTATAGGTGGTGGTGAGCTATGGGTGGTGGTGGGGGATGGAGGTGTGTTGAGATATGGGTGGTGGGGGATGGAGGTGTGTTGAGATATGGGTGGTGGTGGGGGGTGGGGTGGTGGTGGGGGAGTGGTGAGCTATGGGTGGTGGGGGTTGGGGGAGTGGTCAGCTATGGGTGGTGGGGGATGGAGGTGTGTTGAAATATGGGTGGTGGTGGGGGGTGGGGTGGTGGTGGGGGAGTGGTGAGCTATGGGTGGTGGGGGTTGGGGGAGTGGTGAGCTATTGGTGGTGGGGGTTGGGGGAGTGGTGAGCTATTGGTGGTGGGGGATGGAGGTGTGTTGAAATATGGGTGGTGGTGGGGGGTGGGGTGGTGGTGGGGGAGTGGTGAGCTATGGGTGGTGGGGGTTGGGGGAGTGGTGAGCTATAGGTGGTGGGGGATGGAGGTGTGTTGAGATATGGGTGGTGGTGGGGGGTGGGGTGGTGGTGGGGGAGTGGTGAGCTATGGGTGGTGGGGGTTGGGGGAGTGGTCAGCTATGGGTGGTGGGGGATGGAGGTGTGTTGAGATATGGGTGGTGGTGGAAGGTGGGGGAGTGGTGAGCTATGGGTGGTGGGGGATGGAGGTGTGTTGAGATATGGGTGGTGGTGGGGGGTGGGGTGGTGGTGGGGGAGTGGTGAGCTATGGGTGGTGGGGGTTGGGGGAGTGGTCAGCTATGGGTGGTGGGGGATGGAGGTGTGTTGAAATATGGGTGGTGGTGGAAGGTGGGGGAGTGGTGAGCTATGGGTGGTGGGGGATGGAGGTGTGTTGAGATATGGGTGGTGGTGGGGGAGTGGTGAGCTATGGGTGGTGGGGGTTGGGGGAGTGGTGAGCTATGGGTGGTGGGGGATGGAGGTGTGTTGAAATATGGGTGGTGGTGGAAGGTGGGGGAGTGGTGAGCTATGGGTGGTGGGGGATGGAGGTGTGTTGAGATATGGGTGGTGGTGGAAGGTGGGGGAGTGGTGAGCTATGGGTGGTGGGGGATGGAGGTGTGTTGAGATATGGGTGGTGGTGGGGGGGTGGGGTGGTGGTGGGGGAGTGGTGAGCTATGGGTGGTGGGGGATGGAGGTGTGTTGAGATATGGGTGGTGGTGGGAGGGTGGGGTGGTGGTGGGGGAGTGGTGAGCTATGGGTGGTGGGGGATGGAGGTGTGTTGAAATATGGGTGGTGGTGGGAGGGTGGGGTGGTGGTGGGGGAGTGGTGAGCTATGGGTGGTGGGGGATGGAGGTGTGTTGAAATATGGGTGGTGGTGGAAGGTGGGGGAGTGGTGAGCTATGGGTGGTGGGGGATGGAGGTGTGTTGAGATATGGGTGGTGGTGGGGGAGTGGTGAGCTATGGGTGGTGGGGGTTGGGGGAGTGGTGAGCTATGGGTGGTGGGGGATGGAGGTGTGTTGAAATATGGGTGGTGGTGGGAGGGTGGGGTGGTGGTGGGGGAGTGGTGAGCTATGGGTGGTGGGGGATGGAGGTGTGTTGAAATATGGGTGGTGGTGGGAGGGTGGGGTGGTGGTGGGGGAGTGGTGAGCTATGGGTGGTGGGGGATGGAGGTGTGTTGAAATATGGGTGGTGGTGGAAGGTGGGGGAGTGGTGAGCTATGGGTGGTGGGGGATGGAGGTGTGTTGAGATATGGGTGGTGGTGGGGGAGTGGTGAGCTATGGGTGGTGGGGGTTGGGGGAGTGGTGAGCTATGGGTGGTGGGGGATGGAGGTGTGTTGAAATATGGGTGGTGGTGGGAGGGTGGGGTGGTGGTGGGGGAGTGGTGAGCTATGGGTGGTGGGGGATGGAGGTGTGTTGAAATATGGGTGGTGGTGGGAGGGTGGGGTGGTGGTGGGGGAGTGGTGAGCTATGGGTGGTGGGGGATGGAGGTGTGTTGAAATATGGGTGGTAGTGGGAGGGTGGGGTGGTGGTGGGGGAGTGGTGAGCTATGGGTGGTGGGGGATGGAGGTGTGTTGAGATATGGTTGTGGGGGATGGAGGTGTGGTTAGCTATGGACGGTGGTGCTGGGTGGATGTGAGGTGAGCTATGGTTGTGGGGGATGGAGGTGTGGTCAGCTATGGACGGTGGTGCTGGGTGGATGTGAGGTGAGCTATGGTTGTGGGGGATGGAGGTGTGGTCAGCTATGGGTGGTGGTGGGATGTAGGGGTGGGAGGAGCCATTGTGGTGGGGGATGGGTGTGTTATGAGCTATCGGGGCGTGATGAGCTATGGTGGTGGTGGTGGTGTGGGATGGAGGTGTTATGAGCTATCATGGCATGATGAGCTATGGTGGTGGGGTGTAGGGGTAGGAAGAGCCATATATATATATATGACACATGCCAACATTTCCATCAAAAATCAAAATACTTAAGATTCAAGCAAAGCATATTTAATCAAATTTGAGCACTCTTGTACATATCACAGGATTTTACCGTTCTTTATTACACCATTTAACATGTCCTAATAGTCTTTTATTGTATGGTTTTGTACTGATACATGACCTCGCTATACCCTTAACCTAAAGTTATCCTAATACCCCTCAAGAACAAACTATTAAAACTAACCCTATCAAAAACACAACAGGACATTTTCACATAAGATGGGCACCTAAACATAGCTGAGTAATGGGTAAAAGTATCATTTTTCAAAACCAACATCAAAGTTGTGAAAGCATATGTATGTGTATTTGATGTTTAATGCTGCACACCACAATGTACCAGCTGTATGACAGTGACTTGTAAATAGTGAGTGAGTGCAGTTTTACGCCGCTTTTAGCAATATTCTGGTTATTATATCATGGTGGGGAACACCAGAAATGGGCTTCACACATTGTACCCATGTCGGGTATGGAACCCGGGTCTTCAGTGTGACAAGCTAATGCCTTAACCACTAGGCTATCCCATCACCCAGCTTGTTATAAAATCAAGTCTAGTCCAGACAATCCAGTGACTGATAATGTGATAACGTTCCGCTACGTTATACTACGATGACAAGCAATGAACAAAGTCACCGAGCCTGATCACCTACTCCATTTGGTCACCTCTTATGACAGCAGAGGTTGCTGGGGACCATTTCTAACATGGAATCACACGGGATAAAAGTTCATGATGGAAAACAACCAAAAGACTGACCACCAACCTATCAGGAGCGAAAATGTTCACGTGATCATAAACTTTGTATCATTCTTTTATATGTCACATTTAAAAAAATACCACAGGGCCTGATTAAATAACGGCGGAAAAATTGAAATTAAATTCATTGACCATGAGAGAAGAGAACAAGTTGATTTATGATAGGGACAATGAAATAAGGTTGTATGTGACAGGTTAGGCTGTTGTTTATAAGCCATATGCTGTTAATCAATACAGCGACACCTGGTAGTTAGGCCTAGCGGCATGAAACTAGTAACACAATCCCTATAGGAAAACAGCATCCAAAAGCTGTTCTACTGACTGCACTGTGAGGGGTGGAGAGGAAAGATATTGGGGGAGATTATGTAACATATGGCTGGTGGATTTCAACAATAAATACAAGCCTGAGTTTGATAATAAGAGAGTTACAGACAAAGGGAGATGACTCTAACCTTGATTAAGCCATACTCCCAAATACTGCTTTGTCTTCCTAACAATGGCATGTAATGCATAATTCATGACTACCCTGAATATAAACTAAATCCTGTTATTTAAATGTTGTGATGAGTGTGTCCCAAAGAAATATGGATTATTTCGATGCCATTTCACAACTTGGTATGCTCTGATGGTATACTGTAAGTTTGTTAATGCCGCACTCAGCAAAATTCCAGCTTACGACGGCGGTCTGTAAATAATTGAGTCTGGACAATCCAGTTCTTGACATCATGAGCATCGATCTATGCAATTGGGATACAATGATATGCATCAACCAAGTCAGTGAGCCTGACCATCCGATCCCATCAGTCACCTTGCATTGGTTGGATCTTCCAGGGTCTTCACGGGAGGAAGATATTTGTATTAAATGACACTTTCCAATACTCTGTACTGGTTTTTTTACCTCAATAATTGAGGATGATATCAACACATTCATGAGTCAAGAATAAAATAATAACATTATTTTAAGCACAGATATGTTGCTGACAAACCATGGATAGGTCAAATCTGGCTTGTCCAATGGTAAATGGATCCTGGCGTGACTAAGGGATGCAACTGCACATCGTAGCACCTTTGAGCACAGGCCAACACATGCCCCCTCACACCTTGAGATGCTCACGTGGACTGATAAGAACTGCATACAAATATTACAGTCCAGATCCATCAGTGTCATGGGTGAGTGAGTGAGTGAGTGCAGATTTGACAGGTTCGTGATAAGTATCATGGTTCATTCCATGGCCTGTTTTGATCTCTTGTAGCAAAGGTTTTAACAATATAAATACTTCAGATCATCCATCTACTTTTACCTTCATGGGCATCTACAGTGTGTCAGTGCAATTTGCGGACCTTTTGGTGATAACGAGCTCATTTCATCAATATACAACCTGCATAATTAACCTCATGATTTGCCACACTTTGAAACGTTGTCATCCTCAAACGACTAGAGAGAGGGAGATCTATTTCCTGGGTTTGGACAGTCGTAGCATACATTCTCGAGCCAACTGTATGATGACCTTCACCTTGAAAGTTGCTACATCAACTCACTTCATAAATACTTGTAGTCGTAACTGTAACGATACATTGAGTCTAGATGTTTAACATTTCCCTCCCCTTTTTTTGACTATCCTTCTTTCCTAATGACAGAGCTTTAGAGAATCTATATCTTTAAAAGGCTCTGAAAGCTTAAAGCTCCCGAGGCTTGCCGAAAGGTTTTAAACTTTTATAGATGAGTGTTGATATGTTTGATATCCACTCAGTTTGCAAACAGTAATAACCAATGAATTGAGTGTAAAAAGTACAGCTAACCAGCTTCAGTGGCAAAGATAAGTGATGTCATTTGATTCTGGCGCCATGGTAACCAATGACATCACAATGGTCTGCAAAGCTTTGTGATGCAATTCACTATAGCAGAATATCCTAAGGGATATCAACAATGTCAAACAAACAATGTCCCCTGTGGAAGCCAGTTTTGTATGATAAATATTAATAATCCTAAGGTACTGACACTTTTAACACAAAGGACAAAATATGCAGATAAAAGCCATAATCCATGACTTACAGTTCCTGTAGCTAAGTGACAAGCAAGCAAATGACTTCATTCCTAAGCTAGGTTGCCATTTCTACAGACTCACTTACCGCTTGTTGTTGTCCATGGTCGTCTTCAGATGCATCTTCAGGTTATCCCGCTCCATCTTTACATGTTGCAGCTGACTGAGAAGCTGGTTGTTCTCCTGTCTCCACTGATTGTTCATGTGTCGAAGGTCGGACATGTCCTTGAGAGGACCATCAGGAGGCCATATTCTCTCCTTCTCTTGTCCCTCCATTGGGGAGGACCTTGATTTGTCCTTCTGTTTCTGAGCATCTAAGGTATTGTGGATCACTTCAGGTGACAAAGATTTCTGAAGACTAGAAAAAAAGACAAGTATTGTATAATTATTGCAATGATTTATTGTATTGTGACACAAATACACATCAGTTTGACAAAAGTTGTGTTCGTTTGTTTCTTGTTTAACGCCACACTAAGCAATATTCAAGCCATATGACAGCAGTCCGTAAATAATCGAGTCTGGACCAGACAATTCAATGTTTGATATCATGAGCATAGATCTACACAATTGGGATATGATGACATGCATCAACCAAGTCAGTGAGCCTCTTATGTCAAGCATGGGTTGCTAAAGACCTATTCTGCATCAGAATCTTCACCGTTCTTGACAAATGTACCGGAAATAAAAATGTTGCATTTGAAAACCCTACTTGGAACTAAATGAGCTGAAAATATCAAACCATATTCTGAAATAAACCAGCGGAACAGCAAGCAGACATTATCAAAAAGAAACAGAATTTCAACAAAGTGACTTTAACCATTACCCTTTGAAAGCAGTTTAGTGCCTGTGACTAGTCTGTGAAATAGTCTCAAAATATTGCTGGGCAGGTGGGCTAGCTCGCCTTAAAAGTTACTAGCCAGTTTCAAATTTCACAAGCTTAAATATGCAAGTTGATTTTTCCTCAAATTTGATTTAAAGAAGGTATGAATAAAGTAAATTCAAATTGTTAATCATGAGTCAAATAATATGAAAAGTGGTAACTATGATGCTGCAACCCCGATTGGATTTCTTATTTTTGAGGCTCCTAATTGCCAGCACACTATGCAGGAAGTGATCAAATGTAACTTTCTTAGTAAAATACAAATTCAAGCACTTTGGTGGTGGTGGGGGGGCACATAATCGCAAAGTCACTGACTTTGTGTGCTGGTGATTAGGTCACTCTGAGAGTGTGGGTTCAAATCCTGGATGGGAATCAACACCAAAAGTACTATGATGTCTCCTTTACTAAGAAAGTGTTATCCCAAATATAACATTAGTTACATTCTCATCTGCATGTTAATACTGATATAAATAAATGTGATCAAACCATTTCAATAATCATAAGAAATCTCTGCTAAAAGCAGAGTCCATTATAAGATTCCCGCTATATCACAAGCATGTGTTTATGAATCACTACGAAACACCAGGTGTTCTGCTCTATCGGCTGCATCATCACAAACACATGCAAAGGCAAGTCAATTGTTCCCTGAAAAAACCCACAGGAACACATGGTCCAAGTCAAAATAGGGAACAATGTGCTCTATAGACAGGGAGTCAATGAAGCCAAAAGATCTAAGCCTCTGTACACATTTGGGAATTAGATTTACCACATATTTCAAAGTTTTATGTGGCATTGCAGCTAAAATCTTCCACATGGCCAAGTTGCTTTGTTAAATCTATGGAAGAAACATCCACTCAAGAATAGTTTATGTGCTGATGCATTGTGCCTAAATCTAACAAAAGATATGTCCCAATGTTCTAGTTGATGGAATCTATGACAATCACTCAAGATCAACCATCACTTAGATTTGTTCATTCAATTTAGTTGATCATGTATGGGCGACTCATCTGGGAAAGATCACTCAGGCCCCAGTCCATCTAACCAATCACAATATGATCATGCTGTCGAAGCCATTGAATATAGAATCAGCTACGCTATCCACCAGTCCTGTCCACATCCAGCTTGGGAACTCAACCCTAAGTCAATGTCCTCCACTAACCCTATCTCAGGAGATGGAACACTGGTGTATTGTGGCAACATGGTGGATGATGACAACATCAACACTAAACACAAGCTTCGCCACTCGGCCCACCGAAATATGAACTGCTGGTGATATACAACAGCAAACCCTTTCACGGCAACCTGTCCTCTAGATATTATGACACCTCCAAATGGACGGAGTTCCCTGGGGAGAAGAGGATCTTGTTCTTTTGGTTCCTGACTGTGAATGGGTTTTGGTTTAGTGTACGAAATGTATAGCGTTTGTTCACATTCAGGTCTGTCCCCTAGAACTAGGATTAGACAGGAACTTGTCCCAATTTCTAAAATATAATATACGAAAATTATATATGTTCTTTGCCTAGCCCTGGTGTATTCCAAATGCATAAAATAGTCGAAACAAAATCTACTTTATAACTTTCTTTTGGAACATTGTTTCAAATCATAATTTTTTTGTTGCCTGTTGTTCATAAAGGTTATGCGAGACATCAGTAACATCTAATGAGAATACAAGGAGATTTCTCCAGTCTAGAACTTCAAGAACTTCTTGGTAACAAGCTCTTCATTGTTACAATTTGTTGTTTCTGAAGAAGTAAAACGTATGACACAGTCCTGAGACCACTCTCACCTCCCCACCCCACCCCCACCCCACTGAACCCCCTTGAATAAATTATCAGTCACTAAACAATACAAGGATGAACAAAGATGAAGCAAAGCCAGCACCACTTTCCAAAACAAAATCACCACATTCTGTTTCAAGATCAGACTATATCATAATATTCATATCAACAGCATCACACTAAAAAGTGTCCAATGACTTAATGTGAATATCAGAAAAAGGATTTGGCATGATCGCCATCATGCTGATGATGGTTTTCCTCCGTGATGTATCACAGCCCTTACATGAAAAGAATTAAACTCTCTCCAAATGCTGGCTTTGGATGACTTTTGCTGATATCTTTGATGTTGGATGGACCTAAGGACAATTTCAGGGCTGGATGTTTAAACATGAAATGGAATGGTTTGGGATCTTCATTACTTACAGGGAAGCTCTGAACAAAGAAATTCCTATATTGACCATGCTTCACTCCTTGATGGGTTTACATTGTGATTTCAACACAGCCTGACAACTTTCAAAATGTCCATACAAGAAAAATAGAAATAGCTGCTACACACACAGCTGAGGGCTGACTTAGACTGACTTATTATTCCTGAAGTGAAAAAGGGCTTTTCTTTAAGTTTTATCACATTCCTGTTCTTTCCAATTATCTGTATGCCTAAAAAATTGAAATGACAACACATAGCTACAAGACTGGGAGCAGTGATAAGGAATGAGATAGACTGAACGTCATTAAGTTGCTGGCAGAAATATTCCAGCTATATGACACTGGCCTGTAAATAGTCGGGTCTGTACCAGGTAAACCAGTGGCTGACAGGATCCACATTATCAGAGCACATTGATACAAGCTCAGCCGTGACACATACTGTAACCACCCAACTCTCAGTAGTTGCCTCTTACTACAAGCATGGAGTTTGGGGGATCTTTACTCCTTCTAAATTCCAACAGAGAAATGTACATGGAGTACTAGGGACCTACAATAATAGGGACATGTACTCCCCTGAACTCCTGCAGTACTAGGGACCTATACTCCCTGAACTGCTGCAGTACTAAGGACCTATATTCCCCTAAACCTCAACAGTACTAGGGGCACATACTCCCCTGAATTTTTGCAGTACTAGGCACACATACTCGCCTAAACTCCAGAAGTACTAGAGACCTATACTCTGCTGAACTCCTGCAGTACAGGGGAACTATATTCCCCTGAACTTCTGCAGTACTAAGGACACATACTCCCCTGAACTCCAGAAGTACTAGGGGCACATACTCCCCTGAACTCTCAGATAGTGACCTATACTCCATCAGAAACCGAATGGAAAGCCAATCACAGAGTCTGAGGGACCTATCCCGGAATTCCAGCATGGGACATTGATTGTGACCTGTGTAAGAGGATGGTGCTGTAGATGGAAGCATGGCTGCCACCTGTGTACTGCCCACCTGTAGGCAAGCTGTGTGTGCTGCATGCTCTCCTCCAGGTGTTTCACCTTCCTCAAGGCGGCATCCCTCTCCTGCTGCAGAACCTGGAAACAACACAAACAGCACTACAATATTCCACTCCATCTCATAAACTTGTTTAATGCCACGCTCAGCAATATTCCATATATATGACAGTGGTCTGTAAATAATCGAGTCTGGACCACACAATCCAGGGATTGATATCATGAGCATTGAATCACACTATCGGGATACGATGACATGCATCAACCAAGTCAGAAGCCTGACCACCCGATCCCGTAAGCGCCTCTTATGACAAGCATAGGCACCTTTTCCAGTAGGCATGGGTTGCTGAAGACTTATTCTTCCCCGGATATTCAATAATTGAGTCTGTACCACACAATCCTGTGATTGACATTGTGAGCAATGATCCACTCCATAGTGGTATGAGCACATGCAATCCACCAAATCACTGTCTGACCACTTGATCCATTAAGTCTCCTCCTTTGACCAGCACATGTAGCTGGGGACCAATTCTAACCCGAAACCTCCATGGGGACCTGACACTAATAACTGGTAGTGGTCTGTTGAATAAACCAATGTTCAGAGCACTGGAACATATTGGGCCTCAAATGGGGTACAATACTGTGAAATCTCGTATCAACACAAAACATTACATATTTGAATAGCATGTAAAATGGAATAAAACTGAACTAAAAACACTATTTTCTGATTGAATATTCAAGAGTTCTCAATCTATCTGGATTGATTCAAAATAAAAAAATATGTTTTTTTGTGCCTCAGTTCATTCTCTTTGTTTATGGAATAGCTTTTAAAGATGACAAGTATTACCAGCATAGCATGCATCACAGCCAGTATGGTCAGTTACAGTATACTGTAAAAAACCTTGGCTTGTACTGCCCTAGAGATGCTGCATATTTATGTAAAATAAACCAACATTACCCAATTACCTTTGAAAAACTTCCATACAAATATGAATGAAACATATAAAAAACAATAGTATGACACAGTACATGATTACCCAAAGTGGCCTTTTCAGCTGGCACACCAGTTCTACTGCAGTATATATAACTATAGAGCAACAGCTACTGTCCACTCACTTCCATCTTCAACTGTAGGTTTGCAGACAAAAAATAGTTGACAATTGGCCGATCATTTCAAACATATTGTCTCTCAAATACTCAAAGCCTATTGAAGATAATAACTATTCAAGGCTTGCACTGCCTACACAAAACCTCAATGACACCTCAAGGAAATCTATCATATGGAAATCACACAACATGTGCACTTGCTTATTCCTATCCATTAACCAATAAATGTACACCATATTACACCTAACTCTCTATGTCTAATGATACTACTGAAATATACAATACCTCATAAGTAACCCAAATTTATTCAGATTGCAAATTATCTTTTCAGACTGCTAATAAAAAAATTAAACTTAAACCATGAGTTTGAATGGAATCTGTAATTGGCTCAAAACCAACACGAAGAATGGAGATCAGCAAACAGCTTTGTTTACCCAAAATTAACACACAATGCTCCTTCAGATTTGAAATTCAAATTAATTTACACCTTTTCATTGTGTGCTGTAATACATATTTTATCGCAGAACATTGCTTTAAGCATCCAGTTCATGACCTTTCATGTGAAACACCATCCCTGGTGCCTAGCCAGGAAAACAAGGAAGGTTGGGGAAACTGACAAGGTGGATTAACGAGCCCCTTCAGGTGGGAATGGCAGCTAATTTACATGTGTACAAAGCCCAGGTGGATGATAGCTCGTGTCATCACACCACTAATTGGTCCAAATTTGTAAGTGAGGAGATAGCTCGCCTCTACAGCACGCGTCTAAATTGGATGAAAATGAAACTGTACGTAGAGGACGAGTTGGACGATGAAAATCGGCAACATTGCTGCAGCCGGTGAATTTCAAACGAAACTGATGGGAAGAAAATGGCTTTGAATTTTGCACAAAAGCAAACATTGGCAACAGAGGCCGTGCAGGGACATGAAGAAGAATCAATGTGGCGTGCTGTCATGAGAATTGCCGGAGATTCTCTGCGCCCGTTTCACCATATTCGTAGTGTTTATTTTTCATGTCTGGGCATGCTAATGATAGAATGACTTGATACCCGCTTCCTGATTCAGGAACATATTAATACACTCCCGCACTCAGATGAGACCAAGATGAAATTGTAGAACTTAGGAACAAAGCCCTTACACATCCATCTCCCATTCATTAGCCTGTAGTCCTTGTGTTGGCAGCTAATGAGTGAAAACGGCTTGTTTTCCTACCTAAAATCTTCCACCAGGGAAAGATTTTTTGATAGAAGTTTATGTTTTTTAAAATACAAGAATTTCCCTTCTGAATCTTAATGATGTTTGACAGCGGGAAAGTTTTTTAAAAAGACTTTCATTTAAAAGGAATAAATTTTACCTGATTCAAGGGACTTTACTCTAAATAGGGTCTAAAAGCAAAATTTATGTATTGACTGAGAGGATTTGGTCCTTCACATTTTAGCATCCACAATTATCGAAGCCTAATCTGTCTATAATGGTTTCGTTAACATAAGCCTTTTATGTCAGAAAAGTGAGCATATTTCCTTTGATGTATAAACACATCAATACTGTCCTACTTTACTGTCACTTCTTAAAAAAAATGTATTAAACATGCAATAAAGTACAAAATCCAAGATTTCATCATATAAGGAATTTTCTTCATTATTTGAACAAAATAAAGGAAAAATATAATATACAAATAGCATTCAAAAATTGAAAGCATTGCAGAAATTCTGCAATAATTTTATCATATTTTGAAAATATTTACACAGATACAATAATTTAACTCACTGATCCACAATTCTTCATTGAAACAACAAAGAACCTTTTATTACATAAAAAAATGAAAAATGCCTATTTACATGAGTGTAATTTGGCTATTTGACAAATGACACGGACGTGAAACATGTTCTGGGTGATCATCTACACCACTGACCAAACTTGCCACAGATTTAGACGATTCATGAAAACCAGCAACCAGCAATCAAAATTCGCTCAAAAACAACAAATCCATGTTGGAAATGATGACAAAGCGACCTCCAACTTTGACGAGAGATTAGACGCAAAGCTGTTCATGTAGGGATTAGCAAAGCCCCAATTCACTTCTGTGTCGGCCTATGGATAAAGCTCTAATCCTGGGATTATTACACAGGTTTTTACTAAACACTCTAATCTACCATGGCCTCCGAGCCAAGTAACTGTCAGCTGGGATGATGGTGAGTTTTGCATTCTTTCTGAAATGTTTAGAATTTGATGTCAGATTGATATCTCCAAGGAAATAGATTTTTATTTGGTTGTTTAGGCAGGTCAAAGCAGAGTGAAGGAGATTACATTGCTGTGTTTTTACTCTGAAACTTTTTATCAAAACACAGGGAAGAAAGATGCACTCTATCCTTATTTTGATGGGAGACCCTTTAGAATTTGCATCAGCATTCATTAATAAAATGTGTATAGAATATTTTATCTATTAATTAATGGAAATACACGTCCCTATGTAAACTTGAGCTGTTAAATACTAACACCTGCAAGAGGATTGGTACACTGGCTATCATATCTAACCAATGAAAAGTGCAAAAGGTGGTAACAAAAAAGGTTTGGGAAATAGCATCTGAACCATTTCAGTTCCTACAAAGGGATGTTCATAATTTTCCTTTCTATCCAAATAACAGAAACTATGATTATTATGTAATATTAGCAGGGTAAGCACAAAAGTCTGTATTTTCCCTTCATTAATATTTAAAACAAAACCTCTCATAATCATTGCTCACAGACAACTATCTGTAATCGAAGTAGTCTTGAGACTTTATTCCAAATTTGTCCTCAATCTCAGTTTTCTTTCAAAGTTTGGAGGTAATTATTCAATGTATGACAGAAAGTCTTCCCAGTAAATGTAAAGTTTGAACAATATGTAACCCAAAGATGCCACAGTGAATCAAAGACAAGAGACCTTCAAGAGTGCTTTCCTGAAATATTTGAAAAATTCATGAAGATTTTGGATCTTTAGTCATGGGATTTAGCTGCTCGCGGGCTTCTTTTCGTACTTTGTTGACATCACCTACGGATTGGGGCGATTATACCTGCGAGCTTTTGTCAGTGCGTTGTGGGATAGGTGGAATGGGATCGATTTTCGGCATTTCTGTTGCGGCTCGGGACATGCCGTTGCCATCACAACAGGGCGCGGCACGGAGCAGCAACATCCTCTTGACCCTGGTTTCGAGAGTGACAGTAACACATGGAGGAAAGAGATATCGGGCTAATCAACTGTCAATTGTGCCTGATCAATACATGTAATAACCGATCCATGATACGTCTATAGTCACCGTCATATTGTTTACCTTCCAAACAGGAAAACAAAGGCCAGAGCACTACAGATTACACCTTTTCTCTGTCACATAAATGGACAATGACGTGGTCACTTTGCATGAAGTATACCACCGCTGCAGTGAAATTGACGAGCCATCAGTGCTGTGACCTGACTAATTGTAGCCATCTTGTGTTGGATGAACAGTCAATACACAAGCGATACTGATAATTAAGTCATAAGGAGGCCGAGCCCAAACACAACAGGAAAACAAATAGGGAGGCCATTAAATATCCATTTTCCTTGCTTACATTTCGATGCTACACCTTTCTGCTGTGGTTTCTGGTCTTCTGTGATCTACATTCAATTGAACTTATCGCCTGCACTTTGGGTGCTTGATCAACTTGCTCTACAACAATGTCAGGTGAATCAGTCCTAACGATGACCTTTCTAGGTGAAATGAACACTTTCTGTGGTTGAAGACAGGGAAGGATATTATATGATGTCCGAATCAATATGAAATGTGATAGCGACTAGGAACACAGGGATAATTTTCATAGATAATCATGCTTGAAGTATCCTATGTCACACACAACTTCCTTCATAGGTAATGTTTACCAGACAACTCGTACCTGAATAAAACTATAGGGAAGAAGATCATGTGATGTCATAGATACATGCTTTACATGATATTGATATT